TTAGTCACGGATGTTATTATATTTGTAAGATTTTCAGTAAATTTCTTCCATGCGACCATCCTTATCAGATTTCTGTTCCCAGATGTCGTACTTCTATGCTCCAATCTTTTTTCCCCCGAACTGCCAAACTAAGGAACGCCCTCCCACTTTTTGTTTTCCCTCAAATTGCAACCTTACACTCTTTAAATGCCAAATCAACAAACTGGATCTTACGTGAATGTCTCCCTACTCTCCTTTTTACAGGATGGTGTCTATGGGGATTTCCGCTTTTAATTCACATATTGTAATTAAAAAAATATTCGATAAAAGAAAACAAGGAGTAAAACAGTTATTTATTGTTCGGGTGAAAATTTTTTCAGATGTACTATATAAAGGGGTAGCTGGAGGAAAGCCGGCGTGTTTTTGAAATTTTATCTGGAATAAATTTGCTAGAGCATCCAATTAAGACTCGTAGGCTTTGCTGGTTAGGACACGTATTGCACATACCGAGCTGTCGCCTACCACAGCGGGCTGGAGGAAACCCGATGGAGATCAACAGATGATGTGAAGACATGGCTTGAAGAACTGTACAGAGCGATTAGGTACACAAGGGCGTCTCGGGCCTTCCAGGTTGGGGTCCAAAAGACTGCAAATAACTGGTGAGTTGGAGACATTGAAGGATATGGCAACAAACCGAGAGTAACGGTTTGTTGTTGTTGTCCCTTCTTATCAGGTCAGAGTGCACAGCTAGGCTGTGTACTCAAAATAGATTTAATCGGTATCCACCTTATATATACGCACAGACTCCGTATGGATTACAAGTTTGGCAGTGCTTCACTGAATTTTCGATGCACGATGAAAAAGTTGCAAAAGGTGTACGGTGAAACACAAAAAATTCTGTTATCTCGTATTTTCCCATGTTTAACTGTTTCACCCCCTTTACACTATGTTCTGTACCCCAATCCACCTATCCCATTTTATTGTTATTGCGTTGGCACTATGCTTGTCTTCAAGCCGGTGGGAAATATATATATATATATATATATATATATATATGCTGATGATGACGAACGGATCCTATTGATGATATTGTGCGTTGCGCTCGATTTCTGTGGTGGTGGTAAAGAACTTGGACTGAGCAAAGTTGTGATCACGTTAAGTAAATAGACCACCGAAGCAATCCTGATCAACAATGATGACCCATCACTTGATGTCAAAATTACCATATGGCCAGGAGTGTTGGACAACCTTCTCCTCTTCGTTGTTGAATTCATGTAGCCGGTTGGCGTAAAACGATCATCTCAGTGCCACTGGGACTTCCTAATCGAGAATCCATCTCTAGCCATTCACGGTCAGGTGTGACTGATGGGGAAACAGGATAATGACTGTATTTGGTGGAGTCGGAATCACAGTACAACGCTTAACCTATTGGGGCCTTAAGTGGTTCACCACTCCAAGTCCCGGGATTTGGTTCCTGAGTACCATCAGTGAACAGCAGGTCCTCGTGACTATGGGGTTTACTCCGTACTCTGTTCACCACACGAAAGTGTAATAAAAAAATTGTTTTTTTGCACAGACAGATCATTTACCAAGCGAAAACCCATCGCATCACTTCACATCACACGTCACCACCCATCACCCGCGACTGCTTACTCAGTGAACCACTATTTATCTACTCCCGGTAAAACACTAAGTAGTTCTTATATCCGCAACCCTATAGCGCGTACAGTATTGTACAGCTCAGCCGGCCGTAGTTAACGGCCTCAAAAATATGACTGAAATATTGTCAGTCTGTTGCTCTCTCTCAATCTTTGCTTAAAATTTACTTGCAACTAACGACAGTAAGCAATATTGTGAGCACCAAATGTAGCATGTGACGAGAAAAACGTAATGGCACACACTGATGAGCTACTCAGAGCGAACTTATTTAGTTACACTTTATGCATATCAGAAGTGCGTCCAAAAGTTTTCATATTTCTTCAGAGTTATCTCTTGGCTTAGAAAGGAGGACCAATAAGATTGTATTCGAAAAAAACTGATTATTTTGATGAACCAGGGAGTGGATATTTGATAGCTAGAAAGAGATGGCAAGTAGTTACTTTAGTCCGCTTCGTCAAGCATACAGCCCAACAACATTGGGATCACGAAGCACTGAATATTGCATATTCCTCCTTGAAGGTATTGTCAATCTTACCGTGCATTCAACTTCATAAAAGGGTGTTATAACCCATTTGTATATTTTGGTGATAAAAATCAACCGTAATGCCGTGTTTAATAAGAGAACTTCGTCATTCACTGTGGATCATGTTAGAAGACGGAACAAAGAAATGGAGACCGCATTATAATTGACACATAATGTATATGGCTTAATAAATAAGCCTTTATAGAACTAAACCAACTGGAGTCAACTCTTTACTATGGATACCAGAGTACCGTATACAAATGAAACCTCACTCAAATCATAGTAGATTATTATGTTAAAACGCAATTAATTAGTGAAAAACGGTTTCGATTCATTAATATTGTCTAAAAGTGGACTGATGAATGAATGACCTCACAGTGATCGCAAATCGAAACAATTCATCCGTTCCTGGATTAACATCGAATTTGTAACACTGCAGCGTGCAAATTCCGGTTGTGAACGACTGGATGTGTTCGTTCAGTCACATCAAAATAGTTAGTAGATAAACGAATTGAGCATCCCTGAAATACGCACGAACAGATGCGATGGTTTGTAAATCATTCACAGAGAAAAATCACAGTCAAAGAATAAGAACGATTGAGGGGGAGGGCACAGTCATGTCGATCAACACAATACCGAGAAGTGGCTCCCACTGCATATTAGGGAAGAACACATGCCAACTGGTCAACAAGCCGTGCCTTCGACATGAATTGATCAGACTACTCTCAAAGTGATCAGACAAAGCGGATGGGATCGCTGCGAATTATGAATCAATCACAACGGACCTACTGATTACTCCAGTCACCCGCTAAATGCAGCGCGGGATTGGAATAAGGTATGCAAAGCGATGTATCATAGCAAGCGATCAGGCCAGAATCACATACGAAGCAAATGATAATCAGGCGCAATTAAGAAAATGTTTCCTCAGAAAACGAAAATGTCAAACTCACGTGATGTACTCATTGACTGACCGTTGGTCAGGACAACTGACCCGGAATGGTTAGGTTTCGCGATATCAGAACTCAATTTAGCCGTCACTGTTGAATCAACCGGATTGGCGGTTACAGAGCGTTTCACCGGGGTTAACACGGGGGATTCGGATGGTTGGAATGCTTGGGGTATCTCTCGGGGGCCGAACCCAGACTGGGACGAAGTGGGTGAAGCGATCATGGAACTGGTAACTTTTAACGTGTAGACAAGTCAAACATTCGAAGACAAAGGATCAGGGGAAGAGAGAGTACGTGGACGACGACAACGCCAGGCAACGCGAACGAGTGGGGTAGACATAAAGTCAAAGAGGGTTGATTGGAGGGTAGGCAAGAAAGGCGGACCAAATTTGCACGTCAGCATGCACGATTTAGGCGAGCAACAACAGCAAAAAAATTAATACAGACAAAAAACACAAGAACAACTATCGCATGCAAACATGCAAAAATGTGCACTCTATGCAGGAGCTGCTGTTTATGTTCAAGATATTTGTAACGAACAATATTGATGGACAACAAAATTCAACGGGGAAAACTTACCAACCCCAGAACTGGCGTTAGGATCGCGGTTTTTATTTAACCACTGTGATCGCTGTTGGTTTCTCTGGCGACTGGCCTTGACATGGTCCACAATTCTGCAAAAAACAGCATCAAGTAAAGCTACAATATGGAACGGATGCTGTGGCGGTCGAAACAATTTCAAAGTTCACCAATGAGAAAATGGGTGTATTTTGTGGACAAGGAAAAATGAACACCAAGCAAACCTCAATGACAAATGGAAACGGAATGCACTGAAACTCTGGTAAAACATTAAAACACATGAGCACAAGAAATGAGAATATCTCCAGCAAAGTATCCTGTACAACCTTGTAGCTTCGAGATTAAAGATACTTGGTTAGGACGTAATCTAGATAGTGCTCATTCATGTAAGTTACCTTTTGGGATCATGAACGATCGCCTTGTTGACATGCTACCTGAACTTAACCAAAATTTCATTTTGAATATAACATAAAAGTGAGGGTTACGGTTAGATACGAAATGAAAAACGAAAGTTGCGCGAGTATATCCCCCTTTTAGACAGGATTACTCAAAACTACGTGCCGAGAGATCACGGAAGAAATATCCCTAATCACCACGTGAACACTACTAGTCCAATGCATTTTACAACTTTTCATGATTTCATTCCGAATGAAACGAAATGAACATATTCCTATCCTGTCTGAAGTTTAAACAATCATTAAAGCTGTAGCTTCTTGCTACTTTTGGCTATCCATCTGGTTAACCAATGAAAGGAACAATAAGGACAGACGAACAGATAAATTATTATTCTTATCAACTGAGAACGTAAGTTAACCCAGAAGTTCGATAACGACTGTGCAAAAGGATAACAAATGGGAAAATTTCAAGAAGACTGTAATACCGGAAAATCACAGCAATAAGTCTGCTCAAACAGCCTCTTAAGCTTCATAAACACCAGATGAAACGACGAGACAAAGCACAAACAGGAGGACAAAATGTATTTGAAAAGTATTTAATTCAAGAGCTGGCCGCCAGTTTCAGATTATCAATGACAATCAAATCACTTTTTTCACATGGATATAAAATGAATGGTTACACAAAAATGTTTGGCCCATCAATTTCAAACGAATGCACTGAAACAATTAAATAAACCGATAGCTCTTGGCGACAGCCACACTGTATCATTTGCAGCGCTTAACACGCCAATTCCTGAATGAGACAAAAAATTAGATTAAAATAGTGAGTTTAGCATTGACTAAGAGAAAAATGAAAAGCAGAAAGCAATAGGAGAGCATATGTAGCTACAGTGGAAATAATTAAACACGCAAAATGTTGGTAGGGACAAATATTTAATTGATCCCAAATGCTTCAAGCTCACTGATGCTTGGGATGACAGAAAATGAAGCAACTAGGTAAAGAAATATTTAGACATGCGAAATGAGTGTAAACCTCATTAGTAATTACCATGACAATCTACACAACAGAAAGTGAACGCATATATATATATATATATATATATATATATATGCTTAAAAAAGCTCGAACTTGGTGACAAAGTGCTGCTATCACCCATAGATAGACATCAGTGACAGCAGTATTTTAGCATTGAGTTGGAGTTTTTTCGTAGAACCTTACCTGAAGTACCCGCACGTTTTATGGGAGAAAAAATAACGCAGCTGCATATCAACGAAGGATGATGCCAAGTTAAATGGAAGCACACCAAGGAACTGCACTAGTTGTCGCATTCAAATACATCGAAAAACTCAGTCATGGAACAAGGTTGTATAACAGGACGGCATCCCCAAAGGGTACAAAATTAGCGTGACTCACTTGGCGACTTGTTGGGCACCAGCAGCTTCTGCTGCGGCAATATCATCCATAGCACTACATTCTGTAGCGGAGAAATCCGTGGTGAGCAATTCTGCCCCGGTCATCTGATCGCCTAGTGTATCACCAGCCCAAGTCGAAGTCACGTGAGCACGGCGTAGTAGATTGGGTTGTCGATAAACATGACCTGTACGAAACCCGGCACTATCCAGTACACGCATTTCTGCCTCAAACTCGAGTTCCTCTGGAGTCCACGAAATATCTGAGATAGGAACCCAAAAATGGCATTGCACTGTACAAATAGTTGCGATTCACCACAGCAATTGTAGATTTTACCCGTTTTACAATGTCGCATGGGTAACGAAAGAAACTGAGATAATATTCTAGAGGAAGAGATTAACATGTAACGTGACGTCTTTCAGACAGACTGTTACTTACCATCAAAATTCCATTGGGTAATATACAATTGCATACACAGAAACGATTGTTAATAAAACCAAACAAGTCTCACTTGATTTTTAAACAGCAAGTTATGTATTCAACTAGAGAAGATTATTGTTGTATGAAAGGCCAATATAACACTGACCACTTTAATCTCAATGAATTATATTGGCAATGAGAAAGAGAGTAGTGATAGCAAAGGGTCAACAACTTTACCTGTTTTTAAGACCAATGTTCGAAAAACTCGAAAAATTGTCATATTCCTTTTGTATTTTATTACCACAATCTGTCGATCTCATTGAAGGTGCATAATGATACAAACAATATTAAGCCAATAACAGTGTGGACAACTACTCTGTTCCTCATTCTTGCGAGATCAACTGGAGGTGCCTAACACAAAAAGAAGTGGTCTGGTAAACGAAGTAAAAGATTCATATGACAAAGTCGAATTAACCGAGTGGACGCTAACCAAAGTTCCACTGTTTAGTCAACCTATTGACAACAATTATCTGGAATGAAGTATACTTGAGGAAAAACGCAACACCGGCTTTTACGTGAATGGACAACAGAAATTTTGCGTCAAAAAATTCAATCCCGATATCAGAAACGTTCAACGGATTTGTGATCTCTAAGACATCACTTTCACCTTAGTTCAGCAACACTTCACTTCACTTCTCTTTTGTCATTCTTCAATCTGTTTAAAGCGATGGATATTGATAAATTGGTGCAAAAGCATTCTTAGATGAGTGAATCGGTGCGCAGAACATTCATGTGAAATAACTGTAGATTTTACTCTTTATATGATGATCTGTCCTCCTAATTCACCTGTATAGTTCGCATAGCGGTCACTTCTCACTGTATATGATTTCCTTTCTTTGATGTGAGGTTTCATTAAACGAAAGAGCAGTGAAATTAGGCCACAAGTCCAAGTTATAAGCTTACTTTACGCTAAATCCGTAGATTGGCAGTCACCTTTTTACCGTTTGGATTTCACGTGACAGGAAGCATACAGCCCTCTTTTACTGATCTGTAGACATTGGAGTTTGAAAAACAAGTTGAACTGCAAATATCACTTGAACTATAAAGTCCAGTCGTTCACACAAACACATGTTGCCACTAACGCTTCGTGTCATCACAAAATTGGTCGGCACAGTAGTTCATAGTGTTCAGTGCTTAGATCTCGATCAGGACCACCCAGATCCGGTTAAGTATTGCCGTGTACAGTCAAAACACCCAACCCTGAATTAACCAGAGACGAACGAGGTATCGGGAAAAATACCTTATTAGTTGAACTCAGGAAACAGGAGCGTCACACCATCATCTTTCTTTGGAAAGCTAAAATGGTCCAGTATGCGGTTTTGTTGTATTTGAAATTCAAATGAAAGACTGAGTAAATCTCGCACCATGAGACATTTGTGCTCATTCGGATCGTATGACTTTCACACTTCCAACAACCAACATTTAGAGGTTCCCATCATCCATGCAGAATTTGCAACGCATCCGGTTATTTTGAAACCTTTTTTCAATAGTCTTATTGCGCAAAAATTGCACGATGCTCCTCGAGGGGACATCACGAATAAAGTAATGCAAACAAAACCAGTCAAGAAGAGCAGTAAAACTCGGTAGTTGTAAAACAACTCTCACCCCCCGTCTCACTCATTGCTTTGCCGTTCATCAACAAGTGATCTTTTTCGTGATCCGCCTCGTGATCCTCCGCTTGATCTGAATCAGCAAACGGACGAGAACCGGTCAAATTGGACTGCCCTTCGGACAAATGTGTAGCGGATTCCTTCAGTTCGTTCAATAGACTAGCACCACCTGCCAGTTGGAGCATACGCATCTGAATGGACCAGGGCAAATGAAGAGTGTGATCACCTACATTGGACCAATGGTCATTCTTCATTTTATACTCGTTCTGGACAGAATATATTAACGAAGTTGAGTGAATAAGTGCGCAAAGTCGTTGTCGACAAAGTGTAGATCAGCAAACATCCCACACCATCCTACCCGAGCACTACCACTAACCTGTACAAGAAAATGGTATTGTTTTAATAAAATGGAGTGGAATGACTTACAAATTTGAGCCACACATATCCAATGCCTGTTATCTTCGTCCGATTTATTTATTGCAAAACACAATCACAAGGATTTGTTGTATTACTACTAACACTGAAGTACATATAATTGAGTTGTGCGGTGACGGTGCTTAAATTAAGTTCCAGTAAGGTGATGGTTCCTTCTACCGAATTCGGAACGGACGAATGAGACAGAAGATCCAGCCTACAGTAAGGGTGATTCAGTCGCTATAATCTTTTGGACCTCAAGGCCTGAGGTTTGAACGGCATCTCCGTCATTCAACCTTGGTGGCAGGTAGCTTCCCTGACGACCGACTAAATATCAAGTTTAAATCGCTGGGGACTTGTGTAGTTTGACACTCCTCAGCCTAGGTTTCACGCTAAAACAATAGGTTATCAGGATTATATGCTTAGCCCATTCTACTGGTTACCCAGATAGGTTGAGACGGCGAGCGATGTTTGCCGAGGCAGGTAGCGATTGGAAAAAGATCAAGGGAGGTCAAACTAAAACCCGGCATGAGGGTATGAAAACCCTAACCAGGAGACTAGGTCGCAGGTCCCGTAAGGCTCCTTGGCTGGGAACCCCGAGATCATAGTCATCGATGGTTAGAGACACTGAGCGGTATGGCTGGATGTCGCAAACAGTGTCGCTCATGCATCTACTTATTATTCTTATAAATTCAGTCTATATGAATTTGCTCTAAATATTCTTATCTTTCTTTTGCTGTTTTATCCAAATGGGCAACCTAAACCGGGGCACGAAGGTGCATGGTTAATGGTTGCAAGAACTGAACTAAACTTAACTGGTAACCCTTCGGTATCCATGAATTACCCAATCATCGCCTGCGCCTTCGAGAAACCGCGGGATGCATCAGCGGCCACACCTCGGCAGGTAAGCTAGATTAAATAGGGGATAATCAAGAGGTAAAAGCCTAGGTGAGACAGTGCACGGTATGCAGAGACAGCTATCCCTTAGGGGGCAAACGAGATTTGTCGCCTACAAAGAAAACATTTTCAAGTAACAGGCAGTTTCGTCATCCGTTTGCACATCTACTGATCAGTGAATGATCTTCTAGGCAGTCATCGGAAACCATGAACGAACTCGCTGTCGTTTGCAGTAGCATGAGATCTACCTTCAAAAAACAACGAAAACTTCAAGGAAGTCATTTGTCACTAACTCCCGTGAGCTTTGATGTTAATGAAGCCGGCTTATCCTTTCCAAGGAGACAGTCGTAAAAAAAAGCAACCATCTGGATTAGTTTAGTTCAAACTGTCATAACTTCTAGGACAAGCATGTTTCCTTTCCTCACCATTTTTCATTGGGCTTTGGACAAGCTTTTAAATGAGGTGACGGAAGATCACCAGATACATACACCCGGTGAGCAGTAACAAATGCGGAACTAGTCATGTGCTTACAGGGAACTGGTTTTCCTCAGTTTAAGTTTATACAACCATTAACGATGCATTTTCGTGTGCCAGTTTTGGTTGCTTTCTTTTAGCCACCCGTTTGGATGAACAGTAGAAAGACAGCGGTTTTGCTCAGCAATCAGATGATACATGTTTCATGCTTGTTTCGGACAATCAATCGCTATAGAGGGTCGCTTATGGTTTCTTAAAAATATCCTATTGTATGGAGTTTGACATAAAGAGCGGTAAGGCAATGGTAGGACTAGTTTACGCATTTTCCTTCAAAAGAAAAGACCATTTCGCAATACTACACGATTCGTGGGTTGACTACTCCGCTGCATCTCAACATGGTGCGTACTGCAGAAAACGTATTTTATATATAGGGTTTTGGTACAATAACAAAGTTTTTTTTTAAACAATACAACAAAAATATAAGACGGGAGGCATAAAAGGAGGACTATGTTGCCAGGTCAAGGACAAGCTAACAGAAAGCTTTTTTGGTGACAGAAAAGGGTTTCCGTCGGTTGATAGCAATTGCTTCAGTAAAACCTTGCAATCTTGTGATTCGTGACATGTAAACAATCCGATACATCGTGCTTCGGTCGACCTGATTTTGCGTCATCAGAAGGCGAGCTACGGCTGATGACGGGGTCTTGCAGTTTCAACCGTCATTTCCATGCAGCGAAATCGACCTCGATTGCGTAATCTGACTTTGGAACAAATTAGGAATATTCTCAAGAATAGAATAAGTAGATGATATTGGAATTGGCACACACTGGAAGGCGTTCTTTTAATGACAGACAATTTGGAAGTCAACTGCATACTAGGATTCAGGCGATCGTCGATTTCAGTCGCTTTTGGAACAGGCGGCTTACGTTTTCACCTTTCGAATTGAAAGTACAACGTTATCCGTAATTTTCGGGATGACGCAACCGGGTTCCTCACAATTCTCAATTTGCTGTGGTAATCAACAAACGCTTCGGGATAAGCATTTTACTAACATCTCTAGAATGTTTTGTGGTCGTTGATCAATTCTGTCTTCTGTGCAGATCCGCCTTGTCCTGTCAAATGATGTCCGAACAGAGCCACATTTATACTCAGAGCAAAAAGCTTTTGAAGTGTAAATATTGGCCTATCTGGATTTCCTTTCGATAAACAGATTGGGCAATTATCCTGTCTTCTCTTTTTTCATCCTAGTAACAGGAAAACTGAGCGTGTTGCTGAATTCAGATTCCGTAATTAACCACATGTCGATATGCAGCGAAGTCGCCCTGAACATAAATCAGGCAGTATTGCGATATGGTTTTTTATTTTGAAGTTGATCTAGGGGAAGGTTTGCTTCATTTTTCCTTTCGCTGTCAGATTATATTGAACATAGCTGTGGTCCTTCTGCTTGATTTTATTAGCCGATTGTCGATGTTGTTCTTCACGAAAAAACTGTAGAATAAGAGTCTTCAAATGATTTATTCTTTAGAGACAATTGGAATCCAACACCAAATCACATTATAATTCCGTTATAGGCGATTTTTGGTAGTCATTATCATCAATTACAGCCAGACACAGTAAAGCGAAACTTACTGATCTCTGCCAAACTAACAACACATACAACTTGCGTACGAATGCGCAAAGGATATGGTGAGTGGGCCTGTCTCAAAGGAGCTAAACCAATTTAATAAATCCCAGTTGAATACTCTTCTCCACTGAACAAGTTATCGGTTCCGTTCCGTTTGTACTACCTTATGCGTAATAGCTCATTCGTTATGAAGCGTAAAACCCATTTAATCGCTACAGGTTTTATCATGAGTATGTGGACTAGGACAGCAACAGATACTATTAGCTGATCCAACTACCAAACATCACATGCAGTATCCTGGAAAGTGTAATCACGTTCAGTCTGACTTGGTGAAACATGACAGAAGAATTATTTTAAAACAAAACGGCTGGTCATTACTAGTTTGATTAGATGTTATTTTCACACAAATTTGACTACAAATAAAATTTAGTTATATTATCTAGTCAGTCCGTAACGTAAGACTAGAACTAGTGCTCAGAGGAAAGATCCTAACTCACACTGAATTATTAAACTATTTAGATCATTTAATAACGAAGATAGAGCAAAGTAGTTTAACACTTAAAGTAATATAGTCTCGACCATCATTTGAATTCGAATTATTCAATAAACAGAACGGTAACTACCGATATAAACTAACTCCAATCTAGTTAACAAGATGATAGAGTCATTACTGAACTGAGTAGGTAGAAATAATATGGTAAATAGCTAAAGAAGCAGGTAAGTGACAGAAGGCAAATCTAACGGAGCTAGACTTACTTGAGTCTGACACGCGGCTACGACACGCTTGACCAAGTACCAGGCTTCGGGAACACTGGAAGCAGCAACTGCCACACCATGGTTGCGCAGGAAAAGAATTTTAGCTTTTGGACCAAGATCACTTTGTATGCTTGATCGTTCTGCTTCGTCCACCAGGATACCACGATAATCATGGTAACGCACACCACTGTTCACCAGCAATTCTGTAGCCTCTGGACTGACAGGTAAGAGACCGGCTCGAATACAGGATACCTGATGAGATACAGATACGCAAATTTATCACCGACTGATAAACAACCATTGTGTCAATGAGACAATCATGATGACAGAAACCAATTACGAAGAAGCAAAAGGACAAGAACAACAATGTTTACTTCACTGTACACTTCTAATATTTTTTGGGGTTAGACAAGAGTTAACAATTGCAACTATCAGACAGCTAGTTTGAGTTTCAGTTTGAACAACCATTAACCATTAACTTTTGTGGGCCGGTTTTCGTTGCTGTCTTTTGGCTGCACATTTGGATGAATAACAGGAGACAGGAAAGTTGAAGGTAGAGTCGAACAAAAAATGGAGAAATTCAGTGGTTTAAGTTGGCAAAGAAATTGACAGCTAAAGAAACAAAAAAGAATAACTCGTTGGTTTCATCATAAAAGAGGTAGGTTAGAATGAGTTCTAAGTATGTTCTAAGCTACAAAAACAGGCGCTAAAGCCTTCGGCTCTAAAAAGCTTTTTTTCGAGGATGGATGATGAATCGTTCCCTTCCCAAAGAATGCGCCCATCGGGTGCATTTCCTGGAGCATCCCCTGGGGAAGTGTTACTATACCCGTGGAGAAAGTGTTTCCAATTAGGTGACAGGATGAAAAGCTAATATCTGAGGCTACATTAGTTTGATGAATCGCGGGCAGCGGGCTGATAAAGAGCCGGGAAGCCCTGACTTCAAACTCCTCAAAAATAAGCCAGCGAAATGGAACCAAGACATTTTAGGTGCTGCCATCATCGGCCTGACTGGCCGATAAGGCATATTAGGAGATTTAGATGTGCACGAACAACTGACTGGGTACCGATCCCAATAAACTACGAGTTGCACACCGCTTGTCTTGAGGACCGGGCTTTGGTTAGCCATAATCAAAGTGTGAGTCTCCAACACTCAGGTCTGATGTTTGCAAACAAGAACCCTCCCTCCTAATACCACATATGACAAAGCGCGCAAATCCCTTAAACGCCATCTCATTAAGAGTCTAAAGAATGGCCGTGAGAAGTGGTGGGTAGGGAAGTGTAGAGAGATGGAGAAAGCTGCAGCCATTGGTAATAGTTGCACTGTTTTCCGTCCAATTAAGAATACGGGCTCTAGGAAAATAGGTGTACGTGAAGTAATTAAGGAATCCGATGGCACATTGATTCGTCAGTAGCAACGGAATCTTGATCGATGGGGTGAACATTTCGAGGTTCGGTTCAATTGGCCCCATCCAAATCTGACCTAACAAAGCCCCACCTCGACGAGATGAATACTCCAACTTGATGTCAGACCACCATCAGAAATGAAAGATTCCCGGGATGTGCGTTATCTCAAAAGGAAAAATGCCTCCGGCCCAGATGAGCTGTTCTCATCGGCTTTTAAGGATGGAGATTCTGGAATTAGTGAACATTGTGGGAGGGGGAACAGCTTAAACATGAATAGTGTGAATCGGTCATCTCAGCGATTTAGCAGAACTGGCCGAACTACTGCAATATACACTCGACCCTTCACGGACAGCCGGATGTCGCGACGGCGCCAAAGATATTCTCAGGTTGACAAACGCCAACCGAGCATTCTGCATGTGTGCCGACACTTCATCTACGATGCGTCCGCCAAGTGAGATATAGTGGCCTAAATAACAAAACTTGTCCACTTGGTATTCCCCAGGAAGAGTGAGGCTGAGTGTGAGCCATCCCAGTCTTTTAACAACATTTACACTTTGAAGGTGCAAAACGCATACCGAGTCTAGTTACACTAGCACTCAAACTATCCAGAAAAGCTTGCAACTTACCTGGATCCTCACTTAGCAGCACAAAGTCGTCTGCATACTCTACACAAGACAGTCTATTACCTGGGAGCAAATTGGTGCCGCTATCCTCGAACGAGGATAGGGCTGATTAAAGAATTAAATCTATGACAAAACTAAATAGAAATGGAGAGAAAGAGGGCAACCCTGTCGAACACCACTTTCCGCGGTGAACTGGGGTCAAAAAGTGCCGTAAGCTCGGACTCGACTTTGGCTATTATAATATTAGAGGGATTGTAATATTGAAATAAACTTCTCGGGCACACCCTTCAGGGAAAGGCAGCGCCAGAGTTTACAGCGGTCGACTGAGTCGAAGGCCGTTTGCAGGTCGAGGAAGATAGAAATGGTGGGTCTACAAAAGGAGTTTGTGTTCTAGAATTTGACGAAGAAGTGGTTGATACCATCTCGACCAGGTCTAAAACCAGCCTGGTTCTCACGTGCGCATTCTACACATGCGGCAGACAATCGACGGAGTATGATCCCAGCGGGAAGCTTAGAGACGATGTTGACTGAACTAATCCCCCTGTGATTTTCACAAGAGAGTCTGTCACCTTTCTTGTAAATTGATAACATGACCGATTTACACTATTCAGTTGGAAGTTATTCCCTCTTCCACTGTTCTCGGAAGTTTCGTTAGATCTAGGACCAATGCTGAACCTCCATCCTTTAAAAACCGATGGGTATAGTCCGTCCGTACACAGATTTTTGGCCTACGCCATCGGCATCGGAGCTGTCAAGGGCGACTGCTAATGGTGCAATGGTGCCCTTCGAGGTCGAGGAGCGTCTGACATAGCGAGGCAGAGATTTGAAAGATACTAGTGTCTACATCCTCTAGACAAGCGAATAATACATTGTAGACGATGCTGTTATGTGGAAGGATTTCTACACTTCCGTTCCGATGGTATATGTTGAATTTCATATATACGTACGGAGAAATCAAAAAGTGGTGAAATTGGGTGTCCCTCTTATTTGCGGTTAGGAACGGTTTATCATGGACACGTCTCGAGGTGTCAGTACAGTACATACTCCATTCCATAAAACGGACCGATCGACATAGTAAAAAGGCTGATTCGGTTTCGAGAAATACCAGTATGGTCTGTCTACGGTAGGTATGACGGGGCTTGAACTGGTGTTGCAAGATTGACTGAAACAAGATCAAGCTTGTTCATTGCATAACAATTTACTTTTTCGTTTTTTGTAAATCGCTGAAATATCATGTCAGTTTGAAACTTCAATAGTAGTGGAATTGAAATGATTCTTGTAAACTGTGCGGCAGTCTCTTCTAAAGAGAGAGGGAACGAACGAATTCCTATTTCAATGACAATTCACCTTACACGACATTGGAACCAACAGCGCAAAAGACAACCAAGTTTGGGTGGCGGTGGCGCAGTGGTTTAGTCGCTGTCACTGGCGTGCTTCGGACCCTATGGTCTGAGGTTCGAGCCCCG